AGTTTCGTCCACTTGATTTTGCTTTCATTGTGGTAGATATTTTTCTTGATTTGGCTGTTTTGAGGTTGTCACATAGTTTTCATTTACATATTACTCTTTGCCATACAGGAAGTGTTGATTGTGACATCACATTAGGAGGAGATGTTTTCCCACTGAGATTTGATTCTGAACTGTATGTTTTTTTACTCCCCCAAAAACATCCTCTGGAAAAAGCCACTATTTGAGTATTTTCCACTCTGTGTTGGATTGAAGAATGGCGGATCATTTTGTATTACTGGTAGATCGGTTGCTGACCGAATCCACGCTCGAAGCTGCCCTACAGCACAGAAACTCATTGCAGCTTTCTTCGAGCCGTGGTGAAGATATGTCTACAGGTTTTAGTTCCCACACGATGGACATTGATATAAGTTCATCACCAGCAGATTTAGTACAGTGTAAGATTTGCCATGAGGAAGATGAAGACTCAAACATGGACATACCCTGCTCTTGCCTTGGAAGCCTCAAGGTTTGTTGTGATTTTCCTCAAATTATTACTCCGTATTTAGTAACATTTTTTTTAAAAAATACATCCTTGTTTTGCAGATGGTGTAAATTGTTTGAAGTAATTCATAAGATTATATGATTAATGGAAAATTCTATGGTGGACCTAAGATCCACCATGGACCTACATATGAGCAAAATAAGCATATCCTTACTACTTAAATAAGCATCTACTTTTTTAATAAAAAAATAAAAAAAAAGATTGTTTATGTGTGAAGGTCCACAAAAATGATATGCACCCAAGGTGCACCATAGAAGGACTCATGATTAATATAACAGATTTTCAGTGGCATATTGAAGCAATTATATGTGTTCTCTTTCATGAGGAAATTATATTTCTATATAATAAGATTTACGTCATTAGATCATCTTCGGGAAAATCATGTCAGATTACCATAGTGTAAGATTTGCTTGTGTGTCTGGCTCATACTTTGAGAGGGCAAAATTATTTTAGAAAATTACGTGTCCAACTTGGAGGGTAAAATTGTGATATTAAAAAAGTAGCCTAGCAATGACTAATAAACTCAAGACATTCAGATTAGCCCAACACTGCCTGAGATGGAAATGATCATCTGCATTATTTTATATGTACTGAAATTACAATATTTTTTGGATTTAGGGACATAGATCATCTCTATGCTTCTAGATCTTGCTCCTTAATGTAGTTTCTTTTCATGCAGTATGCCCACCATGAATGTGTTCAAAAGTGGTGTAATGAGAAGGGTGACAATATCTGTGAAATATGCTGCCAGGTCTTCTTCCCATAACAATTTCTTTTTCTGTGCATGTATAGAATTCATAATTCATTTGGATCAACTCTCAAGTCTTTAAGATTGAATCCAATATATTAGCTAGTTTAACAAAGGAACTAATAAAGTTATATCTTTTTAACAATTTTCAAATTTTCTTGCTACATTTCTTGGAAAAGATGACTGGTCTTACTTTGTTTTGTTTGAACTTGGGTTTGGATATGAAGCAATACAAGCCATGTTATATAGCGCCACCTCCTTTGTTGCATTATGGTGGGACACCAATGAACTTGAGGTACTTATATTTGGCTGATGTTTATGTACACGTTATATATACAAACATAAGTTGTACTATCACTACTATGTGTCCATTGCCAATGGAGTTAAAAGTCTTTATTGACGATGTTTAAGCTTCGGGTAAATAATGTACGAGTAATAACTAAGTACGTGGCAATTAACTTCTTAAGCTTTTTTACTTTCTATGAAGGGTTTTCAGTTTATAACAGATTAGCGTCATATGGGTTGCCTATTAACAGGGGTTTCAGAGGACATTGGGAGATTTCCAGAGAAGACCTTAGCAATCCTGAATTTTTGGCAATGGTTTCTAGAGGCCCCAACAGTTATATAGATGAAGATCCTGATGAGTACTCAGAACATGCTTCCCAAAGTTTGATATGCTGTCGATCAGTCGCCATAATTGTACTCTCCCTCCCTCTACTATGTGCACTTAAGCTCAATGAATATGGGGGAAATAAATCTATGAATTAGATACATTTTTATACTCATTTGTTCCATCTCTGTTTTTCTTGTATACAAGGAATAGAATTACTTCTTAATGTAAAATCTTTTTTTCTTAAATGCAACCATATTTCATTTTTATTTTTAACTGCATTCTTTAAAATAAAAACAAGTTTCTTTTTCCATTTTCAACCATATTTCTTTTTTTCTTAAATGCAACCATATTCCATTTTTACTTTCCCTGTTTCAACAAAAAACTTTCTTCCAAACGGTTAATCCATTTCACGTCGTTAGTGCAGTTTACAGTGCTTCTGATATTTCGCCATGCACTGCCAATCATCATCAGTGTTTCAGGAGATGATTCCATGCCATTCTTTGAAGTAAGTAACTAGTCATGCAAGATGGTTGTGGCTTGTTTGGAAAGAACATTATGCTGAAACTGAAGAAGGTTTGGTTATGTATGAAACTTTTGCAGGTGATTATGCTGAGCATTGGGATTGTGATGCCAATATACATAATGGTAAAGGCTTATATGGCGATTAGACACCGTCGGCGACATCATCAGGTCGGGCAATGTCTTCAATGTCCTTCCTTCTAAAAGCAATATAATAAGTAGTATTAGTACAGCATATGAAAGCTAAGCCTTGTTTGGATTCATTTGGGGTTGAAACTAGATTCTTAGGGAAGTGGGAATGGAGTTGCATGTCATTTCTATGTGAGGGCAGATGAGTCAATTTCTTTCCCCTCCCATTTTTTTTTGACTAAAATGAATGAAAATCATTTCCTTTTCTTTTCCTTCCTAATCTCTTGATGCAATAGATTTTCTCTCCTCTTCCCACCTTTCCCATCTAAAAAACAAAACTAGATACAACAAACCCATTAACATCCCACAAAAAGAGCAAGGTCTGGGAAAGGCATGAGTGCCCAAAATTTACCCCTTCTTGGGGTATCAAACAAAGCTAGATAACATTACAAATCTCTCCTTCCCTTCCCTACAACCAAACACATCCTAACAAATACCCGATTTTTTTGAACTATTTCAAAGCCAAACACGGTAACACAAGTAACTTCTTGAATAAAAGATTTTTGAGGAACCAGAACCCAAACCAAACAAGGCATTGGTGATCCTCTCACACTTATATGTAAAATGATTTTGTTGTTGTTGTGGGGCGTGTTGTAGGACGTTCGTAGTTTGGACAACGCAACGACAAATGAACCACCAATGCAACAACCTCTGCCACAACTCGTACATATTCGTTGACATTTGCAGCTGCAACTCATGGTTTATGAGTGTCACACTTTGGCCATTGAATGTAAGCCCTTGCCTGTCTGAGGCAATCATGGCAATGCACGTATCAAACTGTTGACCAAAATGACCAACCCATTTCTTTTGTACCATGAAAGTGAATGGTTTGTTCTAAAAACAGTGTAAAGCATTGTTATAGTGAGATGTCTAAAAGCATATATGGAGTACTAGTTGTTTTACAAATTTGCGATGCTAGAACTGAAATAACTGGAAGGAACTAATTGAATTGGGATACCACTCCTTGACAATAACGTAATGGTCCAACACCATCCAAGGACCTCCATACTTAGCAATACACACGATATTGTTTTTACTGTTCGAAGTGATAGAAAGTAAATATTAACAGCAGAATCTTTCTGTCACATGTTAGCCTTACAAATTTGCTCTACGTATAGGTTTGAATTTAAAATATTTAAATATATAAATAATACACCTTGTGTTGTTCAAGCCTGACAAAAATTAACCTGATAGGAGCACCTTTTGTGTTTCCCTCATTTGTTGGTAAATGATTCTTAAAATGGATGAGTTGAAATAGAAAATCTATGAAATAACATATGGCTTTCATCCAAGGACCTTGTGGTCTAATGACACAAAAATGAATCTACCAAAGAGGTCACATGTTCAATCCTCAGCGGACACAATAAGATTTGATGCTTCAATAGTTATATATTATTTTATCAATTGACTACCGAAAATAGAGAAAGAAAGAGAATGAAATTTGACATTGTAAATAATACATAGATAAGTTTATTTGGGACGGATCGGAGGAAATACTATAATTGTAAAAGAGTTATTAGTGCTAAAAAAACATATGAGTTACATAATATGTAAGACCTTGATGGTTAAATAAAAGTTAAGCTTTCGTAGATCCTGTTATGTTTGAAAATAACATTTTAAATTAGTCTTAGTACCTTGGATAATTTTTTTAAAGATGTAGATTATTTTTGAAAATATTTACTCCGTAAAATATTTAATAAACAATGTCATAAATTTTTTATTTAATGAAAAAGCTAATAGGGAACTATTGCTACTGTAAAAAAGGGTGGAAACTTTTAAATTAGTCTTAATATCTTCTACTTCCTTCGTCCTAAAGAGAATGCAACAATTCCTATTTCAACCTCTCGATAACTTTTGTTCATTTACTTGTTTTCAACGACTATTTGATGAAATAAAGTATTTTTGTAGCATCATTTTTTGTAAAATTTTTCTCATAATTTTGAACGATGTAATTTATATATTTCATTAATCTACCAATTTCTAAATAAAACAATTCTAAAAATGATAATTTTTACACATTATTTAAAATGTGATAAACAATTTAAGACGATGAGAGCATAATTTTTTCTAAGAGATGTAGCTTAATGTTGAAAGTGTTACTCTACTCCGTAAAATGATTAATAACAATGTCATTAAGGATTTGTTTGGAAATAACGGTAGAGATTAATGTTAGGATTTTGGATAAAATTTTAATAGTATAAGTTACTTTGAAAACATTAACGCTAGACGGTGGCAGTAGATAGTTTTTTCAAAACATTAATGCTAATCTCTAACGCTATGCCCAAATAGTCTCTGAACCGGTAAAATTCATAGGATACGATTGCCAAATTTCTACTTGGAGTACTTGTAAAAGTGAACGGAAACTTTTGCCAAAGAGCCTAAAATAAAATAATTCACTATCCTATTTATTATTCAAAGTTATTTCCTCATACCATTTACCCCAAAAAAATGAATGAATTGAATTTTCCATTTGCTAAATTCAAAGGAAAAGTTAAAAAAAATCAGAGGGAAAAGAAAGAACAAATGGTCGGCCCTTATTCCAATCTTATCATCTCCCCCAATGTGATCCTACTTTCTTCAACAATGGTCTCTAACATAGGCTTCGTTGACCGGCGACACATAGACAACCGGAGCTTGAATCCCGGCGCCGTCAGATCTTCGATCTCCTCCAAATCCAACTTCGGCGTCTCATCCTCTCCATGATCCGATCCGCCGCTTTCATCGCTAACCACCCGACGACGGTCGCCGGCGGCGGCCCTGTTCGCGGCGAGGAACAGCACGCCTACATCCGAGGCGGTCACGATCGAGCAGAGCCGCTTCATCGGGAACAGGGCGTAGACGCCGGCGATCTCGAGATCCTCATCGGCGCAGAGCGCGCAGAACCGCCGCCCGATCTGCAGGGACTTCGCGTCGGCGACGAAGTGGTTAGGCGGCGATTCGAGCATCAGCTCCGCCGCGCTGACTGGCCGAGAAAAGCGGCGTATTTCTCCGTTTGGGAGGATCACCTTCGTTAGCTTGGCGGAGAGGGGAACCGTTAAAGTGCAGGAAACATAATTTCCCATTTTTCCAAAAAAAAAAAAAATTGAAGCGATGAAGATTGATCTTCAAATCTGGGAAGAGAAGAATTGTTTGAAGCTTTGGCGTGGTGCGGTTATATATACGGAGTTAGAGATGGCATGGCGGCGGCGGCCGCGACGAGGCCAGTTGTAATCCGCGTTTGTTCTTACGGCGTTTTGCTCAAATCCCCACCAACGGAATAGGAAACAGCCTCGGGACATAAGAGGGGTCTATTTATCAGATGTGCCAAACAGCTAAACAAACACGAGCAACTTTGGATGTGTTTGGATAGCTGTTGGCATCACTTTGGCTTTTTTGGCCAAGTGAACCGTCAAAACCATTGTTTGGCTAATGGCTTTTTCATTTGGCATTTTGATCCGAAAAGCCAAAATCTGAAATGTCAACGTGAGTAGCATTTGGACATGGCGGTTAGGAAAAATATTTTTTTTTAAATCATTTTTGTTGAAAGATATTTTATAATATATGTAAAAAATAAAAATAAAAGTTAAAAAAATTAAATATGAAAAAATAAAATGAAATTAAAAAAAAATTATATTTATAATTCATTAAAAAATTTATATTTATAATTTATTATGAATTAAATAAAATTAAAATTTAATATTCCATATAGTAAAGATTTAATTTTTACATGTAAAAAAATGAAAAATAAATATCATGTCTATACACACAAACACACACACATATATAATTTTTTATTTAATTTTTTTAATTTAAAAAAAATATTTATGATATGATATTTAAAAAAATTGTAAAATAAAATATGGAGGGATGTCCTTTTATGTAATTTTATTTACAAACAGCTAAAGTTGCCAAACATTTAAAATTTAACTGCTAACAGAAACAGCCGGTCAAAACCGCTAACTCAATCAGCCATTCTACAGTCTTTCCGCCCATTTTTATGCTACAGTACCCGTGTGAGATTTGGACCGCACATTAAAAGCTTCCTGCGTACACATCTAGAGAGAGAGAGAGTATGGAGGAAGGAAGCTTTCCTTTAGATCCACCTGTTCTTTCTTCTCTTTCTTTGCAGCCGGCTTCACCGTCTTCGATCAGACGTGCGCTGTCTCACTTCTCAAATTGGAGGTCGACGATCGCCGTCCAGTTTTCTTTCTCCTGCGTTAAATTGGGAGACATATTGTATCCCAAATTGCTGCTCCAACGCTCCTTCCATTGGAAGTCGAAAGATGCTTGCGATGAAGAAGAAGGCAAAGAGCTCAACCGGGTGAGTTTTCAGTTATGGAAAACTTTTTTTTTGTAAATCTTCTTTTAGTGGCTTCAATTACACAATCTTTACCATTTTGCAGCGGCGCGTTGAGGAATTGAGTCTGACTTGCGACGCTGGAATTCCGGCCGTGCAGCGGTGCGTTGATGCCTTGTCAGAGTCTTTCAGGAAATCTCTCGAGACTACCAACTCTAGGGTTCAGGAGACAGTTTAGCTTCAAAATGATATAGAGTTAAAAAATAAAAATTACATATCAAAATACTACATCAAGAGATCTACAAAACTAGTAGTGACAACAATATTTTATTTTATCAAATTGCTAACAAAAATAGAAAAAAAATGAATAAAGTTTGAGTCTGTGAATAGTGAACATGTATTATAATTTGAGATGGGGCTATTAGAAACAAGCAACAAAAAGAACATTAATTTAGGTGGTTGAGATGTTAGGATTAGGTGTTTGAAACCCAACCTAAACAAAAAGTTTTGGACATTTTCCCACAAAAAAAGAGAAAATGTTAGGGGTACACCAAAAGGTGTACCCCAAATGTACACCACCCTATTTTCCTCCACACATTTTTATTTGATTTTTATTTACTTAGTTTTTTTGAATTTTTTTGTCTTTTTTAGTGGACAAGGAGGGGGTGGGGATATTTGGGGTACACCTTTGGTAAAGGTGTACCCCCAGCATTTTTCCAAAAAAAATGGTTCCCGATTGTACCGCCTGATTTTAAGTGGTTTATACTAGTTCTTGGCGGTTTGATAAATGAAGCGGTCCAATAGGCTAACGCAGACAGATGCGGCGACCGATTCACATGTTCACTGTCTGAACCAAAACATGTGAGTTAGATACACTTATTAAATTGACGTACTGTTCATTAAGAACATAGTATTCATTTTCACACATTTGTTCATTACAATAATAATATTTTTTTACGAATAACATAGTGTTCATTCTTTTATAATCAACGCAACTCTCCTCTGCTCGCGTTTATTTTTGCCAACACGAGTAGATAGCTAATATTTATTTCAAATAGTTTTTGGCATTTTTTGACTGACTTTGGCTTATTTGACTGATCAAACTTCTAAAATCATTGTTTGGCTAATGACTTTTTCACTTGGTTTTTTTTATCTGAAATGCCAAAATCCGAAAAGCCAAGAGGAGTATGGTAGCTTTTGAACTTGACTTTTAGAAAAATTATTTCTTTAATCATTTTTTGAAAGATATTTTATAATATATGAAAAAATAAAAATAAAAGTTAAAAAAATTCAAATATTAAAAAAATAAATTTTAAATTTTCAAAAAACAAATTATGAGAAAATCAAAAGTAAAAATCATCAAAAATTTATATTTTAATACGGAGTAATTTCTTATGAATTATATGAAAATGAAATTTTATACTCCACATATTAACGAATTAATTTTTAAATGTACAAAAATAAAAAAATAAATATTGCTTGCCAACATCTAAATCTAAATAAGGTCTTAATCTTCCCTGGGAGAGCACAAGAATCAAAATTATGCAATCTTAACATTGCTCGGTAGACATAAATAATTATTTGGTGGCGGTTTATGAAGAAGAAAACTAATCGCCGTGAAAGACGGTGTGGGAAATGGGAGTATCATAGAACAAACATGGAGAAGTCTATGTACCAGATCTGGCGTGGCCAATTTGTTTAATTAGATTTACTTAAATGGAATGAGAACTTTAATACGTATAATTTGTTTAGTTAGATTTACTTAAATGGAATGAGAACTTTAATACGTATTACTCCCTCCGTCCCTAAATAGACTTTCCCTTTCATTTTTTCTTTGTCCCCAAATAAACTTCTTTTTTCTCTTAGAAAATCCTTTTTACCCCTTGTTTTTTCATACTTTACTTATCACATCATACCTTTTTACTAATAATCTATCTATCACATCTTACTTTTACACATCACATCAAGGGTATTTTTGGAAAGCCAACATAAAAATATCCCTCCCTTAAATTCTCAAAAAGTCAAAAATGGAAGTTTATTTAGAGACGGGGGGAATATTAACGAATTCGAAAGTAGAGAATACACGCTCGTTGCACGATATTACAAATTCAAAATCAAAGAGGCGGCAATTGCTGGCTCGTTTGGGAAATTTATATTTTGGACATTGTTGCTTTAGGAATTTTTTTAAATTTTCGTAAACGGAGTCTAAAGTAATGTACATTCCAATGTATAAAACTATGCATTCAAATGTATAGTTTATCTATAGTATCTTTTAACCGTACAAAACTGCAGAACTACAAAAGTAATTATTTGCCCAAGGGAAAACAACCCTAGCTCGTTCAGAAAATTTATATCTTAGACATTATTGCTCTATGAAAATCCTTTGAATTTTTGTAAACGAAGTCCAAAGCAATATACATCTGCATGTTTAATTTATCTCTAGCATCTACGTAACATTTTAATGTTTTGTACTCTCTCTATCCCCAAAAGCTATATCAGTTTTGATTTTTTTGGTAAAATTGTGATACTCTTTAGCTACAAATTATATACTATATTTTAAATAAATAATTATTATAAAAAATTTGAAATATGAAAGTATATCCTATGATGAATCCAATTATATTCAATTTATATTACAATAAGAAATGCTTTTGCATAATTTAATAAAACAATTGTCAATATTTAAATAAAAAATCAAAATAGAATCTTTTTCTGGGACGAAGGGAGTATTAAACATTCGAATGTTTGACGAATAAATGCGACAGTTCGCACAAAACTACAGAACTACAAAAGTAATTATTCGCATTTTAATTTTTAACTGCTACATGCAATTGTAATTTGCGAACAAAGTGTAAAAAGTTTGACCATAAAAATCAAAATAAGAAAAAAAATTGAGACAAACGTAGTACTCCGTGATATTGAATGAACTAAATGTTTTGATCAATTATAATTTTCAATAGTAAATTAATTGCTTTACAGTTTCTTTTTTGACCGGGAGCTACTACATCAGTCCCTCAGTATTTGTCTAGTCTTGTCTTTTTTAGTCAATCATTTTTAATCTTTGATCTATAATTAAATAAAATATATATTATATATTAATTAGATAATATAATATTTTGAAAATATTTTATATAATAAATCTAATAAAATTAAGTTTTACCAATATTTATTATCATTTTTATTTAATTTGAGATTAAAGTTTACTAATTTTGACCGAAAAAAAAACCAAATGTGGACATAGAGTTAGAGGGAGTATCTTTTGTTCGAACGTACAAAATCTCTTTTCTTTTTCAAATGAGATTATTATGAACATGCAACCGATGAAGTTTTAACACGATTTGTGGGTCTGTCATTTATACCGGTTTGATGTGGAACTGGTGAATGGAAATGTTTGGTTGTTCAAAAAACAACTACTACCCGAACCGTTGATACAAACAGCTAACACCTAGTTGCCAAACACAGCCATAATATTTTCATCATTGGGTAAAAGGTTGAATGAACAATGAGAATACAATTTTATAAACTACAGATTTGGATCATAAAGCAGCAATTGTTTTATCATAGAAACTACCATGAGAACAAGAATGGCAACAATCAAATCTATCATCCATATAGTAATCAAGAAATTAATAAAGTCATCACTCATAGTAATCAAGAAATTAATACACTCATAGTAATCAAGAAACTAATAAAGTCATCACTCACCTCAGACTGAAATAGGCCACCTGTTGTCCTTTTGTGCTCAAGTGTACTTGGAAGCCTCCCTGATGATGGTGGAGACATGCAAGACCATTTTGCCCCTTCCCTTCTCAGGTAGCAAAATCTCACAGACGAGCCTATCGTCTTTCTCCACAAGGTTCCATCGGCACAGACTCCTCCACCCGCCGGTCACCCATCTCCGCCCATCGCACCAAACCTTTGTCTTCACTTCCCATTCTTTGCCCTTCGGGTCACGAAGGATTAGACTTGGAGGAAACTCAAATCCCTTCATGATATCCATTGGTATGTACTGCAAAACATTCACAAGTACTACTACCATTTTACTCACTATGTTTGGTTCAGCGATTATGAAAAAAAGAAATGGAAAATGCCAAGGAAAAGAAAGTCAAAGAAACCGAAATTCTCAATCTTGTTTGGTTACTAGGGAAATTGGTTTTTTAAAACTTATTTGATTGATTGCAGTAGAGAAAACCCAAAGAAGACACTGCTCAAAGAAGGGGAGGAGAGGAGATGTGTCAAAGTTTACCAGCTCATTGCGCCTTGTTGACCTGATTCTTGCCAAAAAGTAAGGGTTTGTTGGCTGAGTATAATGCCCAGACTTGAAAATGCGAGCTCCATAATGATCAGGAACATCCCTAGGCCTCTTGCTTGAGCTTCCCTCCCCAGCTTGTAGACCTCTCCTCCCTCCACCTAAGTAGATAAACAAAACATCGCAAAAATGTACAGTATATGAATCATAAAAAAGTATAAGAAGCTCGCGTGAATTGTATCTCTTATTCTCTTACCTGCAGAATGCGTATGATCCGGCATATGATCATCTTCCTCACCACCATCATCTTCATCATCATCATTGTATTCATCATCATCATAATCATCACCACCAACACTCTGACCATCCTTTATTGTTTCATCAATCTCTTCTTCTTTCTTGATAGCCAGAATCATAGTACAATTGCCTGAATCCACTGGAACAGCATTTGATTCCTTGGCGCAGATCCTTGTATCTGATTTTGCTACCTTTTCGCAATGAGATTTGTCAAATAATAAGAAATCAAACATGCCATGACCATCGTACTCGAAAACCAAGCCATATCCTTGTTTAATAGAGTTGTCCTCCACAAACTTTTCCCAACCATCTTGGAAGAAGATGTCATCTCTGGTTTCAGTTATCCCCACACTCCAGATTTTCTTGGACGAATTCCTAAGTAACACCTTGTTTGGGAGAGCTCTTCGCAATAAGTCCCTTGGCACAGAATCCACGGATGATATGGGAATTGCCTTTCAGAGAAAGTGGGTTAACTAATGAGGAAAGGAAATTTCAAACAGATCAAAACAAGCACACATTAAAAGAATGGGTACATTCTTTATTGAACATTTTTAGATTTAATTAGTTCAAATCACTGACAATTTTTGGCACACTGTTAATACTATCTTTCACCATGAGACGTCTTTTTTATACCCCTAAAAACAATTACAAAGATCTATCTACAAATTTTTTAAAACAGTTTATAAAACACATCTTTTTCCTTAGCCACACCCTCTCTGCTTCTACGGTAGAGGGGTTATTTTTTAAGCAGACCTTATTCCTACTCGAAAGTAGGGAAGCTTTTTCCAAGTAACACATATAACACAAGAATACAAAGACAAATAAAGCAGAGAAAGCACAGGGCACAAAAAAAAGAACAAACTAAAAAAGGTTTTCTATGAATTAAAATTGGTTTTTTATATTACTACTCCCTCCATCACATTACAAAGGGTTTCCTATGATGAGTGAACACCATTATAATTTTAATAAGGTACAACTCTTAGAAAACAACACATGTATATTTCTTAACAAGTTGAGAAATAGGACTCTTTCAAGGGACAAAAACAACTTGAGAAGCATGACTCTTTTATGAAGCAGAGAGAATAGAAGCTATGGCAGAATATTCATGGCAAGGTCTATGGTGAAACACTCATTTCGTTTATCAACTCATAAGTTGGATCCATCAAATTATCAGAAATACAACGACATTCCAAGATATCAGAAAATACTAACAAATATGTTGTATTTTCAGTATATGCAACATCAAATGTTGTTTGTATTACTCTTGATAATGATCTACGTAGCCACATAAGGTATCGTTTTTGCTAGTCCAAAAACATTGAATGTCTCTGGTAAGCTTTAGATATAATCTGCCAACTATTGATCAAAATGTATCCCAAAAGCTTTTAGACTAAATCTAACAAGTATCTTCTATCTTAGAAAAAGATAGAGCCACAGAATTGGTCATTAAATTCTTAGCTTTTGCAACCTAGATGAGCCCACCCAAGTCTTTGCTAAAAGAACCACATTTCTAAACTATTTCAACATCTCCCTGCCCTCAACTCTGTATTTCTAGTGTATGGCTTCAAGTTCGTAATCCTTGCTCAAACAATTTCAGTTCTCATCCATACCATTAACAAAGGGAAAGTCATAAGTTTCTCCGTATTTTTCGCACAAAGTCTGTGTTTTAGATGGTAATTTCCTAATAAGAAAGGATATTCATTTTGTTAAATAAATGGTGGAAAACATTTAGAAGCAGATATAGAAACAGATAGAATAATGCTTAAAATGCCTTAGATTCATTTACAGGAAAACAAAGTAAGATTGTTTCTTGCAGAAACATAAATGTAGGATTCACATATACAAACCATCTTTTGTGAATCTGTCTGTGGGCAAAAACACCTGCAGAAGCTAAATTTTGTGTTCTGATTGTCAGCCATGTCCTACAATGGATCAGATTTTGTAATTGGTTCTTAATTACGAATACTAGTTGATGGGGTGATTTAGACGGTGCAGGACTAGTAGATGGGAAAAGGGTATGACTCACTAGGTGGACAAATGGCATGCAAGCACTAATTAATATAAGGAAGGGGACAGTTGGCAGATGTATTAATGTTGTGTAATCTTAACACAATCTGTAATCTAAACCAGCACAAGACCCACCTGTGTCAATAAATTACTGCCCTATTTGGGATTTTATCATTCAGATTTTATCAGGAAAAAAAAGCATATTTACCGTTGTTTGGAAGTGCAAGTGCATTTTTTAAAGAACAAGATAACAGCCAGAGGAAAACATTATATACCACATTTTTAAAGATGAACGCAACCTTACCCTTGTTAAAACAGAGGGGTTTTGGTCAATAAAACTTAATAATATTCATTAGAAAAAGGTAGTTAGCACATTTCACCTAAATTTGAATACTGATATGGAAAAAAACAAACTATGTCCAGTGCCAATGGAGTTCAAAGAGTCACTTCTAAGAATGTTTTAGCTTCAGGCAATTCACATTCCACACCCCAAAAGAGAATAACTATCACCTAACACCCTCAGACAAAAAATTTTAAAAATACACCTTCAAAGAGCACCTTCACACACTTGCGATTTAATTTCATGTGTTAATTAAAGGGTGTGAAGTGATAAGTATTCCCCTTTTTGGTGTGCAAAGTGTGAATCACCCTTTTGGCTTCAAACAGTGTTTTAGCTCTAAATCAGGGTGCAAAGTGAGATTTACCCTCTAAATCAAAATGGCACATTAAACTGCCCTTGTTGCTTATAGTTCATGTAAATATTTGAGCAGTAAATGCAGCAACACACAAGGGTCTAACCGAAACAAAGATAAATCTCTTTACATAAATAAAAAAAACAGAGATAATATTCAATATAGAACCGATTTTCTGTAAAAGCTAAATGGTCTTGGTTTTTACGCCACCAGTGTGAAATAATGGATCAGATCCTTTGCAATAGAGTTATGCTTTTGTGATCCTTAGGTCCACATGTAAAATGTGGACCTGCTCACATATTTTCAATGGCCTAATACTTGGATCTCCTTAACTTACAAGGCCCATCACATAAAATCATGTTATGTGTGAAGGTTCATAAAGTGAGTTCTTTCTGATTTACTAAAAAAGTGAATTCTTTCTGATTTACTAAAAAAGTGAATTCTTTCTGATTTACTAAAAAAGTGATGCAAGTACTGCAAAACCATTAACTAATATGAGGTGAATCATTAATCTTGAGGAATCTTAATGTTACAATCTGAACCAGCACAGCACCTATTTGAGATTTTATCATTCACATCTTATTAAGAAAACAAAAACATTTTAATAAACAGACCTTGTGTGGAAGAACACGTGCATTTGAAAGAGTGTTAGAATATTCCACACCGATTGATGACACGAGCTTATTGCTCCATCATATGTTCCTGTGCATCTAGCTAGCTTCTGGGGTTGAATTAGGCTCAAGATCCTGTTATGATTTAAGAAGTTAGGGAAGCGAGAAAATTCAATTAAGAGTCAAGACCAATATAAACTTTCAATAAAGAGCACGAAAACGATACATAGAGAGCACATAGGCAAGAGACTTGAGGGACGGGAAAGCTCACCACGCTCGTCTAATTTTTTTTAACTTTTAAAAATAAATAGACTATTGCCAAACGGTCTAATTTTTAAAAAATAAAAACTTCTTTTTTCAAACTGATGGATATCAGGCCCGGTGGCCAAGTTCAAAACCTTCGAGGGTAGATCGCATAGCTATTTAAGGCGCGATGCACACCGATGCACCAAGGGGGTCTGGAGCCTCAATGCGCGAGCATCACCAACATGAGGCACAAGTTAGGGAGAACTAGCATCGTAGCTCTAAATTTAGTAAATGAGCAACAATACATATATTATTGTGAAAGACATAATAAAATTTGAGAAAGCAACCAAGAATCAAAGTCACACTCAGTACCATTAACATAAAAACCTAAAGTTCAAACTTCAAAGAACAAAAGCAGGCAGTGGCAAAAACAAAACAAAAAACATGCCAGAGACGAACAATGAGTTGTGGAACATCAAACAATGAGAGAAGCCTCAAATGTCATCCTCAACAGCAATCTTGAGCCAGTCTTCTCCATAAAAAAGTGTATATGAAGGGAAAGAAACAAAATTTAAAGATAAACAAAAAAGGGAAGCCTCGAGACTAAAAAAAATTAAAGAATCCATTTACTTAATAAGCTGCAACACGAAGTAGGCTAGGAGCAAAGTCCAAAGAGAGCCATGTATAAATTGGATGAAACAAAACTAAAGATACAAGGGAAAAAAGGGGAAGCCTCGCGATTGAAAAAATGAAAAAAATAAATAAAAGAGCCTGAAACGTTAATCAAGCAAATGAGAGTCCGAAGAGAGCAGAAGGAAAATCGATGTGGGGAGGAAGCAAAGTCGATTCAGAGAGAAGAAGCCCAAGCCATGAAATCGCAAAAGAAATGAAGTCGCAGAAACAAATGCAGAGACGAAGCAGAAAAGCTAAAGTTTGTGCTGGTCATTTCTTTTCCTATTAAGAAAGGATATTCATTTTGTTCAACAAATGATGGGATACATATAGAAGCAGATATAGAAACAGATAGAATATTGCTTAAAATGCATTTGGAAAACAAAAGATGGAATACATATAGAAGCATATATAGAAATAGATGGAATATTGCTTAAAACGCATTTGATCCTTTACAGAAAAATCAAACTGATATATTTTTTTTGCAGAAAACATAAATGAAGGATTCACATATACAAACCATCTTTTGTGAATAAGTCTGTGGCAAAAACACCTGCAAAATCTAAATCTTCTGTTCTGATTGTCAGCCATTTCCTACAATGGATCATATTTTGTTATTGGTTCTTTATTACAAATACTAATTGATGGGGTGATTTAGATGGTGCAGGACAACCTTGGGAAGAATGGTATGACTCACTAGGTGGACAAATGGCATGCAAGCACTAATTGACATAAGGGGGCAGTTGGCACTAATTAACAATCTTGTGTAATCTTAACGTTACAATGAATTCCGAAACAGCACAAGACCCACCTGTGTCGATAAACTACTGCCCTGTTTGGGATTTTAACATTCACGCCTTATCAAAAGAAATTAGTATATTCATCACCTTTGAGTGGAAGTGCAAGTGCATTTTACAACAACAACAATAACCCAGTTGAATCCCACTACAGTAGGGCGCAAGTGCATTTTAAAGAACAAGAAAACAACCAAAGGAAAACATTACATACCACATTTTTTTTGAAAAGCAATCTGATTCTCCTTGGAAAGCATTAAAAACATTAATTTTAGAGTCTATCCCACATCAGAAGTTGAATAGAAAAGTAATCGGTATATAAGCTCTTGAATTGAACTAAGTAATCAATTAAATTCAATCTTTTAATGTGGTGCTTATGGCCTAGTTCAATAATCCCTACCACATCTTAAATTATATCATGGTATCGAAGCTAGCTTTAGCCCACCTCATTTGTTAAGGTGTTCGTCTAGTCATTCATTCCTAGCGATCCTAGTCTATAGCCCAGTTGTCCGTGTGGAATGTATATCCAAAAGCTTGTGGATTGCTCGTTTGGAAGTCCATACCAGCAGCTCGTGGTCCATTAGGTGTTGGCACTAAAAAAATCAAGGGATGAGAATTTATTTGCAAGTGGTCAAGCACTTAGATTCAAAATGGGTCGGTTGTCCACTTGAGAGAGAGCGTTAGAGTCTATCCTACATCAGAAATTGAATAAAAAAGTAATGAGCATATAAGCTCTTGAGTTGAACTAAGTAATTGATTGGATTCAATCTTTTAATGTGGTTCAACCAAAGTGTCTTATGGCTTAGTCCCTTGATCCCTATCCCATTCTAAATTCTAACAATTAACAACAACAACCCAGCTAGATCTCACAAGAGTAGGGTCTGGAAAAGACGAGAGATATTATTCAAAATTGCTACATCAAGGCTACAACAATGACAAACCCAGTATAATCCCAACTCAACTGGGATCTAGGGGATCAAGATGAATGCAACCTTACCCATATAAAAACAGAGGGGTTGTGGTCAATTAAACTTAATGCAGAGTCTTCATTACTAAAAGCTAGTTAGCACATTTCACCTAACATTAAATATTAATATGGAAAAGAAATAATTATCTAGCATCGATGGAATTGAAAGAGTCATTCCTAACAATGTCTTAGCATCGAGTAATTCACACTTGACACGCCTAAAATTAGAATAATTATCACTTTACACCCTCATACCAATAGATTTAATAAATGCACCCTCAAAAAGATTAACACCCCAAAGAGCACTTTCGCACATTCCCAATCTAGTTTTATGCATAAATTAAAACACTTCAAACTAGCCAAGGTGTATTTCCGTCTAAGCCCTTCTTTTTCCCTCCCAAACCAAAATCTTGTTGCTCAATTAAAAGCTCCGGTCAGTCGGTCACACTCATTGCCGGCATACAACTGATTTTGGTTGAGGTTTTGAAAGGAAAAAGAGTGCTTTAGTATTTTTTTAGGAAGCCCTTTGGAATGGCTTATTTATCTTTAAGGGTGCATTTTTAGTATTGTTTTGCTTTTTGAGAGTACAAAGTGATAATTATTCTCTTTTTAGGGGTGCAAAGTGTGAATTACCCTTTAGCTCCAAACAATATTTTACCTCTAAATAAATTGATAAAATCAAAATGGCACAATAAACTTCCCTTGCTTCTTACTTTACGTAAAGATTTGTACAGTAAATGCAACAAGCCAGCAACGCATAAGGTACAAACTGAAACAGAGATAAATTTGTTAACATGAAAAATAAAATCAGAGATCATATTTAAAATAGAACAAAATTCCTGTAAAAGCAAAATGGCATCTGTTTTTATGCCACACATTCAAAATAATAGATCAACTCCTTAACAATAACAAACAAGTGACTATTCTAACTGATTCACTAAGAAAAAAAACAAAGCACAACCGTTAGGTGAACTTTCTGTGATGCATTTATCTCAATGAATCTTAATGTCACGATCTGAACCAGCACAAAACCTATTTGAGATTCTATCATTCACATTTTATTAAGAAACAAAAACAACAGTATCTAAAGACCTCGTGTGGAAGAACACATGCACTTAAAAGTGTTAGAAGATTCCCAAATCAATTGAACACGTCCATATTGCTCCATCATGTCCCTGGGCATGAGTTAGGCCCAAGTTCCTGTTAGAGAAAGGAGAAATTTCAATTAAGAGTCTAAGAAGAAGAGAATAGAGGGAATCAAATGAGAGGAGCTTCATTAGCATCTACATGACCTTCATCACACTAACATCATTACACTTCACATGACCATTAATTGAGCCAAGCATAATTACAGTTATTATACTCATTAGAGATCGATTTTCAATAAAGAGCACGAAAACAATTCATAATACATTTGTAGTAAAAGCCAAAGGGCCAAAAATGTCACAAAATTTACAAACTTAGGATTTGTGATTCTGTGAACCCCACTAAAATAACACAATGTTCTCAACTAATTAAAATAATAGAAATTTAAATCCACAAATGACAAGTTTGTGAATTTCATGACATTTTTTGTCTGTGGCTTTAACATTTCTCAATTCCCCTAAGTTGCAGAATCCATCACACGCTCCTATGGAATGCTTTGAATATAATATGAGGTAACCAGCCTATTAACAATTAAGATCACTGCAACTATGCCAGCTTAACAATAAACCCTAGTCTTCACAAAACGTGCCAGGAGGAATTGAGTTCAAATTCCTAAATATTTGAGAGCTAAGAGAACCAATCTTTCAAAATTTTCAATTACTTACCGGAAGGGTTAATGAAACCCACAATTCAGTAATCGCATCATGTATGAATCATTATGATGGTAAAAGCACATTCTTGTTAACTATTGTATGAATTTGACATGGTAGCTAGAAGTAAATTAATGAACTCAGTTCTCTTTGGCATTATTGGTGCTGGTTATTTATAGGACCATACTACGGCCCCGTTTGGCATCAGCGTTAGAGATTAGCGTTAGCGTTTTCAAAAAGCTATCTGACGGTAGCCTTTAGCGTTAGCGTTTTTAGATTTAATCTACACCATTAAAATTTTATCCAAAACGCTAACGCTAATCGAAAACGCTGTTACCAAACGAAGCCTACATGTACATGTACCCCATATTTGTATTGTACCCCAAAGCTTCAACCTGAAATTTAATGTAGGTGCAAGTGGATTTTTTTTCACAGAAGATACCCCAACTTTGAAGATTGTAACAAAAAGGTACCATATCTTACGTTTGTAACAAAAAGGTACCCCATCTTTCAAAACTATAACAAAATCATACCCCTTCATCGGAATTGATACAATCCGCGAATTTTTGATGAGGTGGCATCCATGTTGGCTCTCTCTCTCCTACGTGTTAATTATACCTTCTTTTCTTAGTAATTTTTTTCTTAAAAGTTTTAGAACAATATTTTTATGTCCAATAAATAACAAAAAGAACATGTTTCTTTATGAAAATATAAGATTAATTTAAATAAAATTATTCATGCATTAAAATTTTTAAAATAACAATTAATTCTTTGCAAATAAGTTTCTTTTTATTATATTTGGAGAATATAATTTTTTTTAAAATATAAATAAATTCCATTAAAAAAATAAATAAGTTTCTTTGATGGGGAATGCATAATCCCCTCTTTAATGCAATTTATTTCTTTATTTTAAAAAAAAGAAATTGTACTTTTATAATCCATGTTTAGAAATAAATTTAAAAAAAGAAATTATATATATAAATAAATTATATATATAAGTTTAAAAAAAAGTTTAAAAGAAAATATTTAAAAAGAAATAGAATTTTGAACAATAAAGTATAAACTTATACTACGTACTTTATATATATAAGTTTCTTTATTTAAAAAAAGAAATAAATTGCATTAAAGAGGGGATGATGCATTCCCCATCAAAGAAACTTATTTATTTTTTTAATGCAAATTATTTATTTTTATTAATAAAAAATTATATTCTCCAAATATAATAAAAAGAAACTTATTTGAAAAGAATTAATTGTTATTTTAAAAATTCTAATACATGAAAAATTTTATTTAAATCAATATTATATTTTCATAAAGAAACAGGTTTTTTTGTTATTTATTGAACATAAAAATATTGTTCTAAAATTTTTAAGAAAAAAACTACGAAGAAGAGAAGGTATAATTAACACGTAGGAGAGAGAAAGCCAACATGGATGCCACCTCATCAAAAATTCGCCGGATTATATCAATTCCGATGAAGGGGTATGATTTTGTTATAGATTTAAAAGATGAGGTATTTTTTTGTTACAAACGTAAGGTGGGGTAACTTTTTGTTACAATGTTCAAAGTGTCTTCTATGAAAATAAGCCGTGCAAGTGGTGCAACAGTGGCATATAGTGACAGTAGGCTCCCGACCATCCACATGCATTGATCATGATCGTGAATCCCTTTTGCTAATAAAACTTACTCCGTATTTCGTACTCCCTCCGTCCCACTATCCCTTTGTCTATTAACTTTTGGCACACCATCCAATATACTTCTTTAATCTATTTTATTTTGTAATTTATATATTAAAAAACTATAGAAATTATATATTAATAATCTATATGTTAAGACAAATCAAACAAGATCACACATGACTATTTTTAGGCTTACACATTGAGAGAATTTGATGAGTCAAATTGCTTAGATGAACAGTTCCAAGAGTCAAAAGTGGACAAAGACAATGAGATGGAGGTAGTATGTACGTAGTATTTATTTTATTTTTGGCAAAATTGACAAGAATACTCCCAGAAATTATAGATTTTACATAAATACTCCCGAATTTATTTATTTACAACATTACTCCCAGATTTCTCTTTTATTGGCGTTGTTACTCCCAAATTTGGTAGTGATCATTAGTGTTACTTGGATGTGTCATTTTTGCGTTAAGTGAACAGTTAAAATGCAGACATGTATTTTTTCAACTCTAATATACCAAATTCACCTCAACTTATTCTATCCATCGTCTTTCCTACGTCTTAGTAAGCCTAATTATTGCCCTTATTTCTCATCACTTTTTTAAAAAAATTGAGATTTCAAATCTCTTAAATCCTTTTAATGTTTATTATTAGAGTAAATTCAATAAAAAGTCCTCAGTTATAGGTCGTTTTACATATTTAGTCCATACATATCAAATATTACTTATTTAGTCCCCAATTGTTATATTCATTTTCACGAATAGTCCTTTTTTAACATTTCCTTAAGAACGTGGATAAAATTGTAAATTCACACTTATTTCTCTCCTCAATTAAGCTTCTTCTCTCCTCTCGCACTCCTTTCCAAAATTTGACGCTGAGTTTGAAACTTTGAACTCAAATTCGAAATTGTTACTCTTCTCTCAATTGTTTGTCGAATTGATGGAACCCAAATTTAAAACCAGTAACCTTCATGGATGAGTCTTAGGGGCTGTTTGGCAACTTCTGAATTGGTAAGTGCTGAACCAGTAAGAGGTCTGAACCATTAAGTGCTGAACCAGTAAGAGGTCTGAACCATTAAGAGCTAGTATATTGCTTAACTATTCAGAGGCAAATGTCTGATCAATTCAGATAAGAGGTCTTAATCATTCAGACTCTGTATAATACTTAACCATTCAGAGGCAAATCTCTTAACCATTCAGACATCTGAACGATTAAGAGGCTGAAACAAACAGTCTGAACCATTAAGTGCTGAACCAGTAAGAGGTCTGAACCATTAAGTGCTGAACCAGTAAGAGGTCTGAACCATTAAGAGCTAGTATATTGCTTAACTATTCAGAGGCAAATGTCTGATCAATTCAGATAAGAGGTCTTAATCATTCAGACTCTGTATAATACTTAACCATTCAGAGGCAAATCTCTTAACCATTCAGACATCTGAACGATTAAGAGGCTGAAACAAACAGTCTGAACCATTAAGTGCTGAACCATTCAGACATCTGAACCATTAAGAGGCTGAAACAAACAACCCCTTAATGTTTATTTTCTTTGCAATTTCTTGAGACTAACAAATAAAACTTGTCCATAAGTTTATTGGTTTTGATTTTTGAGAGGAGTGATCATTTCAGTTTTAGATTTAGAGCTTCAAACTCAGCAACGAGTTTAAGAAAGAGTACGAAAGGTAAGAGGAAACTTAAGTGAGGAGAGAAAGGAGTATGAATCTACAATTTTATCTACGTTTTTAACGGAAATGTTAACAAAGGACCATTCGTGGAAATAAATATAATAATTAGGGACTAAATAAGTAATATTTGATATGTAGGGACTAAATATGTAAAACGACCTATAACTGGGGACCTTTTATTGAATTTACTCTTATTATTAATTGTGTTCATATTAATTTAATTTGAATTCAATAAAAAAGATGAAGAACCTCGTATAAAAAGAGTCAACCGAGAAACACTGATGATGAATCAATCGCGGAGTAACGACGTAAATAAAAGAGAAATGTGGGAGTAATGGTGTAAATAAACAAATTTGGGAGTATTTATGTAAAATCTATAATTTCTGGGAGTGTTCTTGTAAATTTTGTCTTTATTTTTTAAGTACTAAACAAAGTAAACTTTAACACAATTTATATTTGATAATTGAGGAGAGTATATATATTTTTAAATAAAATATGAAATTTATAATATAAAATAATTATGTTTACATTTTTTAAAACTCTTTCAAAAAAATCAACTACTTTCATTTTTTCCAAACTTCCTTTCGTTTTTCTAACTCTTTTCAATCTCTTTCCATTTTTTTCCAATTTCTTTCAGTTTTTTTCAATACTATATTCCTAACTAAAAAGAATAGAGCCCAAATAGTTTTGCTATACATACCAAGGGGCTATAGTGGCATATCAACATTAAGGACATTCCCTCATAAAAAAAGATTAAGTGTATGTCATTTTGTTAAAATTTTAAAATTGAATATTGAAAGAAACTGAAAAAAGTTGAGAGAAATTAGGAGTTAAAAAAGGTCTAAAGTATTAAAGTGTTAAAAAAATTACCCAATTAAATGAGCACTTAAATATAAGAATACTCTAATTTAGGATATAAAAAAGGAAAAATTACCCAAAATAATCTCAACTTTACCCGATCTTTCAAAAATAATCTCATCTTTCACTGTGATGCATAATAATCCCAACTTTATTGAAATTTGTTAGTTTTATAGGAAAACGTACCCATAATAATCTCAACTTTACCGGGTCTTTCAAAAATAATCCCACCTTTCACTGTGATGCATAATAATCCCAACTTTATTGAAGGGTTAACGGAAATGCCCGTTTTAGGCAACAAAATGAAAGTTGGGATTATTTTTGATGAATTTTTGTTTGTTATTTTTTTTTCAAATTTTTATTTAAATTTTTTGAATTACTTTCAACGTCCATTTCTTTTCCTTTTTTCAAAATTATTCTTACCTTAGAAAAAAATAGATATAAAAAATAATGAAAATGAGAAAAATAACTAAAACCATACAAAATTAATCAAATAAATAATGTAATCAATAGAAATTTAACAGAAACTGGTAAGAAATAAAATAAATATATACGGAGTGGTGGGTTTTAACATTTTACACACTATATGGAGTCTTACTGTACTACTTTTTTTAAAAAAGAACAAGCCGTCCGGTAATGTTGGAATTATTGTAGATAATTTTTTCTAAAAAATAAGAAGTGATATGTTAATACTTTGTATAATGCGTAAAATATTAAAACCCACCTGTATATTTTTATTTTACTTTTACCAAATTCAAGTTAGTTTCCATTGATTACCTTATTTATTTTATTATTTTTGTATCATTTTAGTTACATTTCTCATTTTTTCATTTTTTATATATATTATTTTTATTTTTTAAACTAAGACTAATCTTTAAAAAAGGAAGAATAATTGATGATGGAGGTAGAAAGTAATTTAAAACATTTAAATAAATAATTTAAAAAAAAGAAAATTCATCAAAAATAATCCCAACTTTCATTTTGTTGCCTAAAATGGGTATTTCCGTTAACCCTCCGTTAGAAATTTAACGGCGACCCAAAACTGGCAAATTTCAGTAAAGTTGGGATTATTATGCATCAAAGTGAAAGGTGGGATTATTTTTGAAAGACCCGGTAAAATTGAGATTATTATGGGTACGTTTTCCTATAAAAAATTTGTTTGTGCTTGTGGTAGAGAAGAGTTATTAGGGAGTATTTTGGATATATGAGTAATTGTATACTCATCATATATAAATACATATATTTTTAAGTTGTTGTTGAAGAATATGAAAGCAATTAAAAAAATTGGAAATTGGCTCTAATCACTACGGCAAAAATGGTATCAGACGACTGTTGATGTTGATTAACTACTGTGTATGGAAACATAGTAGTTAAAAAAACATATTAATGTGAGTTTTTCTTGGCTACAAAACAGTAGTCTAGCTATGATGCTTTAAAACTGTTTTTAAAGTTTCGAGAAACGATAATTTATCATTAGTTGTCTGTGTCAGTTCAAAATATAGTTTTTGTTAGAACAGTTGTCAATAACAAGTTAAGAATACTCTATTTTAACAGTAGTCTGGTATTTTAGTCTAGCTGTCTAGAATTGTTTTTAAACTTATTAGAAACAGTTATCTATTGATAGTTGTCTGTTTCATATGGTTTTTGCCACCGTTGTTTCTAATGGGAATAAAAGACTCTTTTATAACAATAGTCTATAAATTAAGGTTTGAACTGTTTTAAAAGTTGTGAGAAACGGTAATCTTTTATTAGTAGTTCGTTTCACCTAAAAATACAGTTTTTCTTGCCACAGTTGTCAATAATTAGTTAAGACTACTATTTATAAACACTAGTCTGGTTTTTCGGTTTATAACTATTTTTAAATTTATAAGAAATAGTATTCTATTGTTAGTTGTATGTTTCATATGGTTTTGTTTTGCATAGTTATTTATTATAAGAATAGAAGACTCTCTTGTAACAGTAATATATTTATATAGCATAGAACTATCTTTAAAATTCATAGAAACCATACTCTATTACAAGCTGATAATAATAAATTAAGAATACCTTTTTAAACAGTAGTTAGACTATTAATCCTAGAACTATTTTCAAAGTTTTGAGAAACCGTAATGTATTACTAGTAGTATATGTCACACCGTTTTTTTTCACGGTTATCTCACTAATACATATCAAGGCAAAGGCACCGGTTGTTTTGTACCTTTAGCATCGCTTTTGTACCGATGCAAATACAAGCGACGTAATTGGTCCAGTTCAATTGCATCGCTTTAAAAACAACCGATGCCTTTGCTATTTTATTAAATTAAAAAAACAGGATATTAGCATTGGTTGTATCCAAACAACCAATTCCTGTTATTTTACGGAGTATTAATTAAAAAAAGACTATTTGCATCGGTTGTTTGGCTACAACCGATTCCTTTGGTCTTATCTTTTTCAATTTTTTTTAAAAAGCATATTTGCATCGGTTGTTTGGCTACAACCGATGCCTTTGGTCTTTTCATTTTTGATTTTTGAAATGTATTTGCATCGGTTCTTTACTAACAACCAGTGCCTTTAATATAAGAAATTTTTTAAATATTTTAACAAAAAGCACAACAATTTTACAGAATGAAGCAACAATACAAAAACTACATATTCATGCAGCACACAACAGTACATATAAAAGCTTCAAGTCTCAAACATTGAGGACACTTCAAATTTGATTGTATACATGCACCAAAATGTAAAGACTTAAGATACTACACAACTTACAACATAAAGTTGTGAACAAGTAACAAAACAGGTTAAAAAGTATACCAAATTATACTAAATTTGTTTGTCACTAGTAGGGGTGAGCAGATCCCAACCCGATACCGAATTAGACTAAATTTGTTTGTAATTTCTAGTACTCCTTACTATCCACACGGATCCAGTACTTGGTCTTATTCTTCGAAGCTTCATCGGGTCTTCTTAATGCTTAATCCCACTCCGCCGGTTGTACCTCTTGAGTTCCAAGCTCCTTCTTCAACTTTAAAGTATTAAAATCCACACAACATATTTCTATGTTTGCAATTGGATTCTCTCTCCCTGCAGGGGATGCCATTTGACAGCTCCCACTTCCATCTTGAGCCTCCCCACTTCATGTTCATGCCCCTGGTAGTATTACACAATTACAATATTGCTGTTAGTGCTTTGTTGTTTGTGATGTCCTGGTGGTAGTTTCATATTTCGCATAGCTTTTTCCCCACTTAGTTGGAATCTCATTGTTTATATTAAAAATACCCAAAACCAAAACCGAAACGGATATCAATTTATTTCAAATCGTATCATACTAAATGAACCTATAATAGCCAGCCCACCACCACAAGAAGATCATCAATGATTTGATTAACACTGTATAATCCAACTTGTGTGATAAAAACAGAATTAAGAAATTATATAAACAAGAACTACACAAACAACACCTAAAGCCAGACAAGAAAAAAGACACTTTCATCAACATTGCCCAAAAAGAGACTAAACACAAACCGTACTAATCTTTGTTGGGGTAAAGGTCAATAATCAATCGACATTTTTCAATATTTACAATCGGTTCAACATTCACATACTAAACCACAAATTCACGCATTAAGCGTATGCTAAAATTAGGGTTTAACCAAACCTGGCTTATTACTTCGGAGACTTAAAGGCAGATTTGCTTTAGCTCCTCCAATTCAGCCTCCCGCGGCCCCCAATTCAGCCTCCCCCAACTGGTCTCCGGATTTCTGAAACACAAAGTGTTTGCTCCCCCAATTCAGACGTTCTGCCACCCCCAAGCAATCGACTCTCGCAGGTGTATGCTACGCCATCGTCGTGGAGTCACGGTAGTTCGTCCTATGTCAGTGGTGAACGGAGATGGCAAAGGAAAGCTGAAGAGATCATTAGATAATGTAAAAGGCTATGACATCAGTTATACTACCACACGGATGCCTTTGTTTATTTAAAAAAATCAAAAATTTAATTCTTTAAAAAGCCTAAGGCATCGGTTCTACCGAAACACCGATGCATTTGTTTATTCTTTTGAGCAAGTACGAGTCTAGTAAGAACAAAAAAAGACAGAGAAAAAAGAGGCTACGCGTCTAACCTTCTTGGGTATGAACAAAGCAGGAGGTTGAGGGAAGGGGTGGGATGTTCACCAAGACCAGTCAAGAACACCATTACGAAGGCAAGAACACAGTTCATAATCGTCAAGAACAGCAGGTCATTCCACAAATTTCAATCACTCAAAGAAATGTTGTTAAAACACCATAAACAACCTCTCAAACCCAGCGCAACAACAAAGCTAATAAAAAAAGCAAGCAAAAATTGACAGAATCGCAGTCCCAATGCAGTACATACGAATCCCAAAAATCCTCAAATCATGAGGGAATTCAAATGAAATTGAAATCAACCTTTAAAAGAAGGAGAGGTATCGCATACCGCTCAACATATCACAAGATTAGCCATGAAAAGTATCTGGATTCACTAGAATTGGAGAGTGTTAGAGAAGGAAAAGGAATATTAGAATATTAGTCTTTGATTTGTATTAGACTTGTATATGGTAGCTTCCTTTTATTTAGCATTCCTAATCCTATTAGGAATACCTTGCTGTATATATATATATATACTCCCCATTGTATTGTAAATAACCAAGAGAGAATACAATAGTTTTTCAGCCCAGAAACACTACTACGTAACATGGTATCGGAGCAAACCTAAAATACCTATTCCTTCGTGTGCTACAGCCGCACGTTACCATCCAGCATCATACAAACTACTTTGTTTTTTTTCCTTTGACGGTGAACGATCTCCCTCCGGCGAACAGCAAGCATGGCAGGCGAGGCAACCCCAAAGGATCTGAAAGCATCACCGAAGAATCATGTGGACGAGAACGATGACGACATGGTGCAAAGACGTCGTCGCATATCGCCATATGATCTCTCACCCAGCGACAATCCGGGTATGCATTTAACCCAGGTTGTTCTTAAGGGACCAAACTATGACGAATGGTCCAAATCCTTGCGCCTTGCCTTACGGGCTCGCAAGAAATTTGGATTTGTTGATCGATCAATAACGCAGCCGGATCCAGACTCAGACGACTTGGATGATTGGTGGACCAATCATTCGCTTATAGTGTCATGGATACGCAACACGATTGAACCATCGTTGCGATCCACGATCTCTACGGGCGAGTCTGCATCTGATCTATGGGACGAACTGAAGGCATGTTTTTCGGTTGTGAACGGACCTCGCGTCCAACAACTGAAACGTGAAATATCTGAATGTAAACAAAAGGGACTTAGCATGATGGCATATTATGGCAAGTTGAAGAAATTATGGGACGACTTAGCCGACATCGACAAATTCCCAGATTGTGTTTGCACAGATTGTGCGGGAAAACTGGCGGCAGCCCTAGCAAAGAAGAGAGAGGAAGAAAGGGTTCATCAGTTCCTCATGGGAGTCGACGACGCAATATACGGCTCCATAAGGTCGCAACTTTTGTCTCAAGAACCACTGCCCACCGTTGCCCGAGCCTACAATATCTTGATTCAAGAAGAGACCGCCCGTGCTTCGATC